TTTGGGATGCATTCTTTGACAATTACCCAGAATGAATCACCGGCTTCCTTTTATAAAAAGATATTTATTGGCTTCGGAGCAGAGCATAATCCAGCTCTTCATGGGGAGGAATTTTGTAACTCTGTTCACACATTCTCATAAACTCGGTGTCTGAGTATTGCTAAGGGGGTGCCTGCACAGAGCGTTTCCTTTAATTGTATCAAATATGGAGGAGAATGGAAAAAATCAGCCAGAAAACAATGAATGGCTCGAGGGGGAAAGGAGAAGATGGAGTGTAATAAAGGCAGAGTCTAAGTGCTCAATAAGAGTTAGGAATCCTCACCGGAGACACTTTGCAGAGGCCTGCCCAGTCCCCCTCTTTCACCTCATAAGATTGCAAAAGCAGTGGGAGGCCTCTGGCCCACACTTAGCAGCTGGCTGGACACAGCTGGCTGGACAGCTGTGTTCGGGGCCTCTCGTGGCTGGCTCTGGCCCTGCGTGCCTCCCTCTGTGCCTGTGACCTGAAGGAGATTAAGTTTTCATGCTTTGCTGCTTGCTAGGCAGGCTTGTACATTTTGATAACCAACGTGCAGCAGGCCAGAAGAAAAATTCTAGGTTCCTCCTTTTTCTAAACCAGGAAAGGCCAGGTCCAAATTAATACTGAAATTCGAAATTCAAAACAGCCCTGGAGCTTTAAGGGAGGGAAAAGTCTCTTAGCTGATGAGGTTCAGAAATGACAGGGTTAATCTTCCAGACACAACCCTAGAATGAAAGAGGAGAATTATGTATCCTGGACTGGGCTTCTCTTCGCCACCTCTGTGTTTTAGAATTTTGTGGACTAGCCCCTCTCTGAGAAGAATTTATCCCTCCCTAGGAACCAGGTCTGCTATCTGCATCTTGGCATCTATGTCTTCTGTCTGATGGGCAAAGGGCACTTCTTCTTTGCCTGCTTGCTTCCTTCTTCTAGCAGGGTGGGAGAAAGGGCACTGCAGGGCCATTTGGCCTGGGCTCCACAATCCCAAAAGGCCTCGGGTGAGAACTCTTGACTTGAACTCCCAAAGAGGCTATATACATAGGCCTTGTATGAGCTTATCAATGTTTAGTTGTCAAGTTGATATATTTAAAATCTGCGGGGATGGGACCATCGGATGGTGTAATGGACTCCCCACACAGTCAGCCGTGGTTCAAGTCCTGGACCAGGTGGCTTAGGACTCATGCTGGGTGGGTGTGCATGTGTGTTCAAAATCCTGAGGATAGAACGGAGGAAAAGGGACTGCAGCGTGGCTATCCGCCCCCCGGTGGGTGATTTCTTGCTTTCTGTCTCTCTGTCATTTTCTGTCTCTTTGGCAAATGCACATGCCCTATAGCAAAAATATCTCTCTTAAAAAGAAAAAGTCGGGGAGGATTGGGGCAGAACAGTGGTGCAACAGTAAAGAGGCCGACCCACATGGGAAGGTTCTGGGTTTGCATCTGAAGACCGCCCTGGAATATGCCAGGCACACATGTGCCCAACATCCAGGGGCTGGCTGAGACTGGTCATGGGTCGTGGTGCAATGCCCTTTGTGAGACCTGTGGGAGTGCTGTCTGTCTCTCTGTTTTTCTTGCTTATAGAAAAAAGAAACTTTACAAAAATGTGTGGCAAGTTTTTAACAGCTCTGTTGGGATATAATTTTATACCATAAAGCTCACCTGTTTAAAGTGTGTGACTCAATGTTCTTAGGTATATTTACAGACTTGTGCAACCATTGCCACAATCTAATTTTAGAATGTTTTCATCACCCCTGAAAGAAGCCTTGTACCGTTAGCATCCCTCCTTATTTCCTCCACCCCTGCCATGGGCAGCTAGTCATCGAGGTTCTGGACATGTCACATGCAGTAAATGGGATCTTTCTGTATGCGTTCTTTCTGTGACAGACCTCTTTCACTTAGCATAATGGGTTTGAAGTTCATCCATCCTGCAGTATAGATCAACACTTGCTTCCCTTCATTGTATGGTGGCTTTTGTAGTGTAGTCATACAAGGAACTAAGACACAGGGTCTTCACAAAGTTCCTGGAAAATGTGTATTGTGAAAACGACTATGCATGAATTTCAAAAATCTTTTGCAAAACTTATACTTTAATTCCATTTTCCCACTTTTTTTGGGGGGGGGGAGGTTTTTCACTAAAGGGCGTGTGCGCTCGCCAGACAGACAGAGAGAGAGACAGAGAGACAGAAAGCGAGAAATCCCCCCTCAGCGGGGATGGTCATGCCACAATCCCTTCTCCTCCATTCTCCTCTCGGGATCTTGGGCATGCATGCACACGCACCCGGTGTGAGTTTTAAGCCACCGGATCCGGGACGTGAACCGCAGTCGCCTACGTGGGAGTCCAGCGACATAGCCATTACGCTAACTGCTGGTTCCCCATTTTCCCTCTTTTTTTTTGGGGGGGGGAGGATTTTCACTATAGGGCGTGTGCGCTCGCCAGACAGACAGAGAGAGAGACAGAGAGACAGAAAGCGAGAAATCCCCCCTCAGCGGGGATGGTCATGCCACAATCCCTTCTCCTCCATTCTCCTCTCGGGATCTTGGGCATGCATGCACACGCACCCGGTGTGAGTTTTAAGCCACCGGATCCGGGACGTGAACCGCAGTCGCCTACGTGGGAGTCCAGCGACATAGCCATTACGCTAACTGCTGGTTCCCCATTTTCCCACTTTTTGAAGTCCTTTTATACACAGTAATCAAAAAGGACTAATTACAGGTATTTGCCGCAACGTAGATAAACATCACACACCTTATGCTGATCATAAGAAGCTAGATGCAAGAGTATGTACTGTTTAATTCTGTCTATGAAGTGGAGGAACAGGCAAAACTAATCAATAGATGAAAGTCAGGAAAGTGATGGCCTCTGGATGAGGATGGGGTGGCTGCTGACTGAGAAGAAGTATTTTTCAGGACCTTGAGATATTTTATATCTTTATTTTTTTTTTTTGGAGAGGTTTTTGCTACAGGGCACGTGCGCTCGCCAGACAGACAGAGAGAGACAGAGAGACAGAAAGTGAGAAAACACCCCCCAGGGGGGATGGCCACCCCGCAATCCCTTCTCTTCCATTTTTCTCTCGGGATCTTGGGCATGCACGCACACGCGCCTAGCGTGAATTTAAGACACCGGGTCTGGGACTTGAACCGCGGTCGACTACTTGGGAGTCCAGCGACATAGCCATTACGCTAACTGCTGGTCCCCAAGATATTTTATATCTTGATTTCATTGCTGGTTACATGGGTCTCTGTTTAATGTGAACATTCACTAAACTGTAAGAGTTAAGCACTCGTATGTGATGCTTACATTTTAAAGTTTTTACTAAAAAGTATGTATAAGTGTTATGATTTTATAAACTCTAAAAAATAGTATATAACTACAGAAATTAGAACAAATCGTAAGTATACTGCTGGGTGAATTATTACCAAGCAAGTACATACTATAACTCCCATCCAGGTCAAGAAACGGAAGCCCTCTCCCAGTCCCTGCTAATCATTACCTCTCACTTTCTTCTCCAGAAGTCATTCTCTTCTTGACTATTTGGGATTTTTTAGCTTTATATAAATAGAACCATACAGTGTGCTCTTTCTTTTGTGTCAAGCCTGTTTTGTACATTATAATTGTGAGATTCACCCATGTGGTGTGTAGTAGTCATTTGTTCATTTTCATTGTTTTATAATACTCTGTTGTGTGAATATACTCCGAGATTACTTAGTATTCATGCTAATGTTAATGGATATTTGAGCAAGTTTTAGAATGGGGCAATTGCAAATAACTTACTATTGGGATTTATACTTTCTTCTGTTGCATATAGACCTAGATGTTCAATTGCTGCCATAGGGTAGACGCTACCTTTATAGGCCACAGCGTTTGAACACCATTTTAGCATTCTTCATTTCTTTCTTTTCCTTCTTTTTTCTTTTCTTTCTTTCTTTCTTTCTCTCTCTCTCTCTCTCTCTCTCTCTCTTTCTTTCTTTCTTTCTCCCCCCATAGGGCTCATGCCCTTGCCAAAGAGAGGCAGAAAGAGGGAAAGTGAGAAATCATCTCCCTCGGTGGACAGCCATGATGCAATCCTCTCTCCTCCTTGCCCCTGTCAGGGATTTGAGCACACATGCACACGCACATGCACTCAGTGTGATCCTTAAGCCACTGGAACTGGACGTGAACCTCAGTTGGCCATGTGAGAGTCTAGCACCTCAACCACCACACCACCTGCTGGCCTACATTCTTCATATCTTACTATAGTGGTGTCTTAGTCTGGGCCACTGTAATGGAATGCCATCGACTGCTTGGCCTAAATAAACATTTAGTTTTTGCGGTCCTGGAGGCTGGAAATCCAAGCCCAGGGTGAAGTACCGGCAGGTCCTGTGTCTGGTGAGGGCCCTCTTCCTGGTTTGCAGAGGGCCATCTTCTCCATGTGTCCTCAGGTGATGGGGATCAGCGAGAGCAAGTAAGCTCCAGCATCGTTTCTTACAGGGGCACTAATCCCATTCCTGAGGGCTCCACCCTCATCATCACCTCCCAAAGGCCCCACCTCCTAATACCATCACATTGAGGTTAGGATGTCAACATATGAATTTGGAGGAGACACAGGCAGTCCATAACAAGTAAGAATTTTTAAAAATGACATTGGCCTAGGCCTCTCTTGACCTCTGAAGGATGGGGAGTGTCCTAATGCCACTTGGTGTTCTCCTCTTCCTTGGCTGGCCCTCTGCCCACCTGCTGCACAGCCCTCCACCCTCTGAGCACTTACCTTCTGTATCTCACTGCCTTGTCTGTCCCTTCCCAGGACCATGAGCCCCTGGCGGGCAGAGACAGTGTCTCATTCATTATTATAGCCCCAGCCTGCAGCATAGTGCTGAGAACATAGAGATTCTTCATAAATATTTGATTTAATAAGTGAGAGAATGTAAGACCCATCCAGCCATCTAATTTCTGGTTGAAGTTGAGAAATACATTAAATTTTGAAAACTCATATATTTTTTATCTTTGCTTTCAGATATCAAATGGATCCACTATAAAGGTCTTTAAGAAGATAGCAAATTTTACTTCAGGTAACCAATATAATATTGTTAACCTTTTGTTCTCACCCAGCTTTATTAAGTATTGCTTTTGCCTCTCTCAGATGGATCGTCACAAAGGTGAGATGGAGTTGTTGCCGTGTAATTCTTTGGAAGCTGAGAAAAGCCATTTTGATCTGTTTCTTCTAGTCCTAAGAACGTAAGCCCTGCAAGAATAAGGAAAGGAAACTCTAAATGAGGTTGGCCTGGACCGCTCAACACTAAGGAAGCTGCTGCTGCTTAGCCCCTAACTCAGGGCAAAATCTCAGCCCTCACAGCTTCTGT